GTGGAGAATTCTTTAGTAGGGTCAGAGTCCAGTTTCTTATAGAAACGTTCGTCTGAGAGTTGTCTTTGGGCCTCCGCCATATAAGTCTCTTTATCCATTACTACAACTGTAGAGCCTTTGTCTGCTTTCTTAATTACAATGTCATCCCGATTTTTTAATGATTGTAAGGCAGATCTCTATCTGCTTCCTAAAATACACAAAGAAGGCATGCCAGGTCGCCCCATAGTCAGCGCAATTGGACACCCCACGGAGAAAATTTCTGAATTCATTGATTTACATCTCCGTCCACACGTAGAAAGTTTGCCATCCTATCTTAAGGACACCACGGACTACATTAACAAGACGCCCTCTACTGGCCTCCCAGATCATACCCTCCTCGTGACTATGGACGTCACATCTTTGTACACCAATATTCCACACGATGAGGGTATCGAAGCCTGTAGAGAAGTCTGGGATAGTAGATCCATACTAGTTCCTTCTACCGAGTCCCTTGCTAAGCTCCTTGAACATGTTCTCAAGTTCAACAACTTCATGTTTAATGGAGAACATTACCTGCAAGTTAATGGCACTGCTATGGGTACGAAAATGGCACCGTCTTATGCCAATGTCTTCATGGGCAGACTGGAACGCAACTTGTTACTTCAAGCACCATTTAGGCCCCATAGCTGGTTGCGTTTCATTGACGATATAGAGATGAAGTGGGTGGAATGTCGCGAGAGCCTCGAGGCATTCATTACGTTTGCCAACACCTTTCATCAGTCAATCAAATTTACAGTAGACGTATCTAATTCGAAAAACGTATTCCTAGATACTACATCTACCCTGATTGACGGTGAAATCGAATTCAGTCTCCACACCAAACCCACAGACTCCCACCTTTATCTTATGCCCACTAGCTGTCATCCCCCACACACTTTTAAGGGAGTGCCTAAGGGTCTAGCCACCAGAATTCGACGCATCTGTTCCTCCCCTGCCTTATATCAGGAGCAAAGTGGTCTTCTTAAGTCCCACTTATGCAAAAGAGGTTACAATGCCCGCACCGTACAAACAGCTATTGATGAGATGGCGGGACATGACAGGCAAAATCTATTACGCTACAAGGAGAAAGACAATAGCGGCAGGGTCCCTCTGGTAACTACATACCATCCCGTCCTTAAGAACCTTAGCGGTATCCTTCAAAAGAACCTTCCAATTCTCCATTCAAACAAACGAATGGCAGAGGTCTTTAAGGAACCCCCACTGGCTGCATACAGACGCCCAAGGAACCTTAAGGACATGGTAGTAAGAACCAGACTGGACAACCCATTACCAAACGGGGGCTTTAAAACTTGCTCTGACAGAAGATGTCTTCTTTGTAAGCACAGCACTGACACAGACAGTTTTAGCAGCCCTGTTACAGGCCGCAGCTACAAAATACTAGGGAATTTGTCCTGTCAGACTGACAACTGCATTTATCTCATCAGTTGCAAAGTTTGCTCCAAACAGTATATTGGTGAAACAGGAGATCTCCGCAGGAGAGTCAATAACCACCGCTCGACCATTAGGACCAAAAAACTCAATGAACCCGTTGGGGAACATTTCAACCTTGAGGGTCACAAATGGGAGGACATGACAGTAGTGGTGATTGACCATAACCCAAGATGGACAGATGCTCTGAGAAAAAGCAAAGAGAAGTTCTGGATGCACAGATTGAAGTCATTCCGCCCTAACGGTATTAACAAACTGAATGACTTCACCAGAATGAACGTAAACTAGACCCAATTCCTGATGATACTAGACAAGATTATTCTCTCAATTTAGTGTTAACTCTACTGTTAATTTGCGTCACCAACTTTCGGACAACCCACAAAACTATTTATTGTTTACGCTTTTGTTAAAAAAATTTTTTTCCCGGTAATAAATGCTTAAATTTATAATGGATCATAATTCATATGTTTAAATATCCCTGCTATATTATTTTTCTTTGATTATTCTTTATTAAGTAAAGTTATGCCATTTTGAGAGAATGAAACACTGTACGATTTACTGATTATCTTAATTGATTAGCATAATTAATTCGTTCAATTATCAAAAAACTATTTATTGTTTACGCTTTTGTTAAATTTTTTCCCGGTAATAAATCTTTAAATATTTCAAAATTTATAATGGATCATAATTCATATGTTTAAATATCTCTGCTATGTTATTTTTCTTTGATTATTCTTTATTAAGTAAAGTTAAGCCATTTTGAGATAATGAAACAATGTACGATTTGCTGATTATCGTAATTAATTAGCATAATTAATTCGTTCAATTATGTAAATCGCACTTCACCCGAGTATACCCGATAGACCGGACGCATTTCACAGCGGTCCGGATTTCTTTCATTATTTCCAATTCAACATGTAATTATGTAAATATCTAGTGTTTAGTAGTTTAGTAGTAGTGCTAGTTGTTTTTGTTTCTCTTTTTCCTTTGTTTTTATGACTTTTTAACTTTTTTCTTTGTCCTGAGGAAGGGACAGGGCGTCCCGAAAATTTGACAATTTTTATTGTTCGTGTCGTTGGTCATTTTAGTGCTTTATATAAATTTCCATCCGTGACCTTGTATCTACTTGGTAGATCCGACATTTAGGATATACAGTGTTGTTGGTTTTTTAGTGCTTTTTTATATATATATATATATATATATATATATATATATATATATATATATATATATATATATATATATATATAAAGAAGAGAAGAAAAAACACACACACACAAAAAAGCTCAACTCTATATATAAAAAAAAGAGTTTTAAAGTTTTAAACAGTCAATAATTAAATATTAACATTGTCATTCTGCATGTTCTCAGTAATACTGCATAATTTTGAAGCAATTTAATGGTGACTGCAGGAAAAGGGAGATTATACACATCATATGCACACTCACTAACTAGTGTGTCGGAGAACCACGTCAGTCAGCAAATTTTCCAAGATTTCGAATCGACGACCACCGATGTGCTTCGCTTGAAATCGCGAGATAACAACTGTCATATTTTTGATTTGTAAGTTCTGCATCGCTTTCACTAATCTACGTCCTGCGCCAAACTCGCCATCATCGTTATATCCCTCATGAATATGTCCCTTTGAATCTTGAAATCTGTATACGAGTATGTTGTGGTCAGCTTTGGCATGGGATTGATCACACAATGTTTTCTTGTACATGTCGCGCACGTGGTTGCACCATTCCGTTGTTCCCCTAATCCCCCGGAAGATGTTTCCCCCTTCATGTTTCCAGCTCTGTCACTTTAATCTTGTTCAGCGCTTCTGTTTCTGATTGATCCATTCCAAGGATTTGTTCAGCTTTTGGTTTTTGTACTTTGTCTCTATGTACGCTTCCGTTTAGAAATACAAGTTTCTCTCCGATAATGTGTGTCTTGACGTTAGCTTAACAGTATTTACTGTTCAACTCCAATAGTGTTTTTTTCTGTTTTCTGGTATTTCGATTGGAGTTTGTGGTGTAATGAAGAAAGTAGAATTTTGTTGCTCGAAAGAATTCTGGTCAGTTCCCTCTGCTTGATCTGCACGTTGACTTTTGATATCCCTCTGAGTCTGTAAGATTAAGTCCTTATCTGTAAATTTGTTGAGTCTCCCCGTGATGGTTCTTGCCTTTCCTTGTAATTTTGGACCGTTTCTGTGAATATTCGCAAAAGATAATTCTACTTTAAAATGTGTCTTGACAAGTTCTGGGATTTAAACGAATAGATCCTCGCCATCTTCTTCAGGAAAATTATGAATCAAAATATTTTGTTTCATAGATCTCGATTTGAGATCGATTATATCATTTTGATTTTTTATTACTGTTCTCTCCAGATTTATCACAATACATTTTAGAATGTTGACATCTTCTTTGAGTGACCTGTTCTCTTGCCTCAGCTGCTGAAGCTCGTCATCCCCATCTGCTTGTTGCTGGGCTATCAGTTTGATTCTGTGATCGAACCCATCTTGTTCCCATAAGTCTTTCTTGATCTCTCTTATTTACTCGGTAAATTTTTTGATTGTCCTGAGTGAATCAGTTATTTCCCCGAGGCTACCTTGAAGACTAGGGAGCGAATGCACAGCCCTGACCAACTCAGGTGTGAATGGATTACCTGTAATGCTAGGTTCCGAGAAAGTATGTCTCTCTAGCAGTGATTTCTGCTCAGTGGGACTCCAGTTTCTATTCATTTTTGTACGAATATCAAAATATAAAAATTTTGCAAATTATAAGCTTCGAAAAACAGAATTCAACAATCTTCACAATCTTCACTACTTACTCTATCAAATATACACTTTACACACACATTAAATCCACATATTGGAAGATATATAACCTTTTTTCGGCCCAAAGCGGGAGCTCAGAAAAACATGACCGGCCGAAGCACTGGCACGTGATGCTGTAATTGACATATAATTATGTTACCCAAACGAAGTTGGGGAACATATTGTTAAGGTCTTCCGTCTCCAACGGAAGGCATTCTACATGTACTGATTCTGATGATTAAGATTATTCGATTCTTTTTTTTCCCTAGTCGCCGACTTTGACACTACATATCTTCATCATTCCTGAACGGATTTTGTTCAAAGTTTTAGAGCATTTAGACTTTCTAAAACCCTTTTAGAATATTATTACACAACTCGGCAATTACCTTCTATTTAAATGTTATTCCCATTTGGTTGAATTTTTCATACCTTTTTATTCAGGATTAGTCTAGTACGTGCTTTATGGTTCGCTATTAAATTTTTTTTAACAATTAGTCTTTCGTTTTTTATCTATTTAATTAGTTTTATAGTGAACAGGTCTTCATAAACTTGATATATTAATCTATCTTTCTATGTTTGTTATTATAACAATTATGAGTAATTTTAAGCTTTATGCATCGAATAATTCACGATTATTTATCAAGATCTCTTTCTGTCTATTCTGGAATATTTAAAATATACATAATTCAAACCATACAGCCAACAGTTTATTACTCTTGTTCTGTTTCATAAGTGGCGATACCAAACGAGATTGTACGAGGGAATGAGGATAGAAGAAAGACGTATATTGAGGCATTGAAACAGAAAGGGGAGGTTGTACATTATAGAGGAAGATCACAAGACAGTGTTGATTACGTGACGTGGCTTTGGGGATTCTTCAGACCTGACATCGTGAAATCTTGTATAGGACTCCATCCACACTGGGACATTTATATCATCGACAACAAAGCTTACAGAAAACCAAGTGAGTTGGGAAATAATGATCGTATAAAAACTAACTCGGAGCTATCTAAGCTCATAAATCATGGAGATACAGTATTTAATAAGCAATGATGTCTCTACCAAAATTGTTAAATCCAATACCCATGGATAAAGGTTCTGAAGTTTGGTTTAGCCCCCCTTGGCCGCATAGTGAAATTGAAATGATTATTTCAAATTCCTTTCCTCTGTTCAAACGGTATTTATGTGGCAGGGGATAGTTCCGTACTAATGACCCGGACAAATGTCTTTAAAAACTGAGTTATCTCCTGTTTGATGTGATAGTTTATGTAGAAAAATGATAATAACTAGAGCTGAGCTCGTTGCAAGGCAACGGGTAGGTCTTCCTTCTGAGCTGCGGACAGGGGGAAATGACCTTGAGTCAAGGTAATGCAACATTCTAATGTTAAAGCAAACTTTTAAGTGTAGATGTCATCTTATAATGTTTTTCTATTAAACAAGAGGCCCACGGGCCTTATAGGTCACCTGAGTATCATGTAACAACTTTTCAGTGATTGTATTTGGTTCGAGTTTTAATCCAAAAGCCATGAAATTTACAAATTCTGAAAGAGGCACTATTGCTTATCAAAGAGCAGATTTCAAAGCATAATTTATTTTTTAGTCAAAGTCCCCCCCCCCTGGTACCCCTGACCCAGCAGCCCTGAAATTATCTATTTTGAAAGAGGCCCCTTTCTTCAGCCTACGGCCAGCATTTTTTTTTTTTTTTTAGGTTTAGTTATGAACATGAGAATGAAAAAGTCCCGAGGGAGAAGGAAATAAAAAAAAAATTTTTGGATAAATCAATTATCAACATTTAAACATTCTTTTTTTTATGCTATCCTCATAGGCTCCTTACCACTGGACACATAATGCTTACAAATAGGAAAGTAGAACATTTAATTCCTTATTTCATCACCTGCCAGTTTGGGCCAGTTCTATAAATTTTGTGATGTTGATCAAAATATATTTTAACAAGATGCCCAGGAGCCACATCACTCACCTGAGCAATTGGCTAGGAAAAAGCACATATCAGATCAGAACTGAAAGTTTACTGGGGGGAGGGGAGGAGGGGGCTCGAATTTTAACCGCTCAGGGGGTCATGATTTGAACAAACTTGAATCTACACTACCTGAGGATGAATCCATATGAGTTTCATCTTTCCTGGCCCAGTGGTTCTTGAGAAGAAGATTTTTTTAAAATGCCATTATTTTTTCTCTAATTCATGATTATCTCCCCTTGGAAAAGGGCGTGGCCCTTCATTTGAACAAACTTGAATCCCCTTTACCCCAGGATACTTTGTAGCAAGTTTGGTTGAAATTGGCCCAGAGGTTCTTTAGAAGAAGATGAAAATGTGAAAAGTTTACGACAACAACAACGACAGACGACGGACAAATTTTGATCAGAAAAACTAACTTGAGCCTTCGGCTCAGGTGAGCTAATAAATCAATTCTTTAAAAGTCTTTCAATATATCTTCATTTTTTTAAATGTGTTAGGTGAATGTGTAGACATTGTTCTAAAATATACTTGATGCCTAAATTATAATTCCTATCATAAAACAGACAGTGGATATTGCGGAGTTGGGTGAACATTTTTTTTCAATTAAGAGTAAAATAATTTTCTGGCTGATACAAATGATACTACATGCCTGTATATATTTGTATATTCTTTCTTTTTACTAGTTCAATTTTTTTTTTATTTCTTCAGGTTATTGTTTATTTCTTCCTTAAATGGACTTAACTTCTCCCATAGTTTTATTCATTGCATCTGATGCATAAGCAAACCTTTTCTGAAGAATGATGCTTAGACTGTAAGCTATAACAGAGACCTAAACAATGTCGCTGGCAATTTGCAATAGCTACCACGGGCAATTTAAAACCTGTGGGAGGAAAATAATTTACCAAAGGAGTTCGCAATTTTATCAATTCACTCGATTGACCAAGCCATGAACTATGAAATCTCGATCCCGACTCAAATTTGATATCGGAAATTTTTTTTTTTTTCTGAAAATTCAAAACCTTGAGCGGAGGGTTTGTAAAACTGAAAATAAAATAAATCTTGGCCTTAAATATGTAATTAGATCATTAGCATATTGACCAGGAGCAAAGGATAAGATGTTCAAAGAATTCATGCATTTCATTATATAATCATTAGAGCCCCACCCTAAAACAAGAACCCCTGACTCAGGGGCCCTAAAATTCACAAATTTGGGAGAGGCAGTCTTATTCAACATAATTTTGTACTTAGTTATTTTATTTAATGCCCAGGAGTAGAGAAAAAGATTTTTTTAGAATTAATGTATTTTCACTATATAATCAATAAAGCCCCGTCCTAGCACCAGAACCCCTAACCCAGGGGCCATGAATTTCACAATTTGGAAGAGGCCACCTTATTCAACATAATTTGTACTTGGTTAGTTTATTTAATGCCCATGAGCAGAGAAGAAGATTTTCAAAGAATTTATGCATTTTCACTGTGTAATAAATTTAGCCCCGCCCTAGCACTAGAACCCCTGACCCTGGGGCAATGAAATTCACAATTTTGGAAGAGACAGCCTTATTCAACATAACTATGCACTTGGTTAGTTTATTTAAAACCCATGAACAGAGAAGAAGAATTTCAAAGATTTTCTTTGCATTTTCACTATATAATCTATATAGGCCCACCCTACCACTAGAACCCCTGACTCTGGGGCCATTAAATTCACAATTTGAGAGGAGGCAGTCTTATTCAACATAACTATGCACTTTGTTAGTTTATTTAATGCCCATAAACAGAAAAGAAGAATTTCAAAGAATTTATGCATTTTCACTATATAATCTATATAGTCCCACCCTAGCACTAGAACCCCTGAACCTGGGGCCATGAAATTTAGAATTTTGGAAAAGGCGGTCATTTTCAACTTACCTATGCACTTGGTTAGTTTATTTAATGCCCAGGAGCAGAAAAGAAGAATTTCAAAGAAATAATGCATTTTCACTATATAACCTGTTTAGCCCCGCCTTAGCACTAGAACCCCTGACCCTGGGGCCATGAATTTCACAATTTTGGTAGAGGACTCAATGCTTATTACAATCATACCAACAGTTTGACTGCTTGGTGTCCAGGAGTAAAGAAGAAGATTTTTAAAGATTGCACTAATTTTAGTGGTTTTTGCCCCCCCCCCCCGGACCCCAGGGGGGCAGGGACCATGAAATTCACAATTTTTGTTCCCCATAAATGCTATATGCCAAATTTGGTTGAAATTGGTTGAGTGGTTTCAGAGAAGAAGCTAAAAAAAAGTTCAAATGTTAACGCACGACGAACGACGAACACCGCACGACGAACGACGACGGACAAAAACAGATAGCAATAGGTCACCTGAGTTTACTCGGGTGACCTAAAAAGGATAGTAAAGGAAAGTTTTTGACCTTGACCTTATCAAAATGATCTTTGATTTACACCATGACACACGTTGGTGTTGAGCAAATACCATTTGTGTGCTACCGTATTACAAATTTTCACATGTTCTTTTAAACAATGCATCCAGCAGAAACATCTTATCCTAAATGGCCTTGCTTCAAAGTCATGACACGCTCGGCCTGATTTAAGCAACACCTTTTTTTCGAAAGGCCTTGTTACAGCTAATATACATGTGTAAAACCAGGTATGAAAGCGCTACCCTTTCTCGAAAGTTATGGTCAATTTTAAGCAATGTTAAAATTTTGGAAAATCAGGTTTTAAACTTCATGGTCAAATTCATTATATACTAGTATTTGAAAAGATTTTTTCACAGGTAACGTACATGTGATTTTTATGTAATGTGAAAGTACTATTTCTTCTCATTCAAATGTTATGAACAAGGTTAAAATTGTGAAAATAAGTCAAGCCTCAAGGTCATGGAGTAAAAAATTAGTGTATTTAGAAAAGTGTTGTATCAGGTAATACACAGGGGTAAAATAAAAACCCTGTCTCTTCTCATTCAGAAGGTATTACTATTGTTAATGTTTTTGAAAAGCAGGTCAAACTTCAAGGTAAAGGGTTAAAAACCTTTTTGAAAATTTTAAGGCCTTGTCACAGGTAATGCACGTTTATACAAGAGGCCCTAGGGTCACCTGAGTAAAATGTAACAACTTTCTAATAACTGAATTAGGTTTAACTATTTTAAACCAAAAGCCTTGAAATTCACAATTTTGAAAGAGACACCATTATTTATCATAACTATACACTTAGCATACTTATTTTGTTTACTTAATACCCAAAGGCAGATCAGAGTAACAGAGAGAAAATGCATTTCCACTTTATGACCACCAGTTGTGCACACCAACCCAGAGGAACCACTGACCATAGGGCCACATATTTCAAAATTTTATGAATACCATTTCATCAGAAATGGTTGATTAAATCAAAAAGCAGATTTCAATGTATTCCTTATTTTCAGACTATGTAACAACACCCCCCTCCTACAATATCACTAACGCAGGGGCCCTGAAATTAACCATTTCGGAAGAGGCATCTTTCTTCATCATAAATATATACTTAGATCATTGGCATTGTAACAAAGAGCCAAGGAAAAGATTTCCAAAGAATTCATCGGTTTTCACAATATAATCATTATAGAGCCCAACCCTAACACCAGAGCCCCTGACCCAGGGGTCTTGAAATTCACAAATTGGGAAGAAGCAACCTTCCTCATCATAACTATGTACATAGTTCATTGGTTTTACATCCAGGAGCATAGGAGAAGATTTTAAAAGAATTTATGCATTTTCACTACTAGTATATAATCAACAAACTCCGCCCTAACACCAGATCCCCTGACCCTGGGGTCATGAAATTCACAATTTTGAAAGAGGTAGAGTAATTCAATATAACCATGTACTTTGTTATTTATTTCATACCCAGGAGAAGAGAAGAAGATTTGTTAAAGAATTAATGTATTTTCACTATATAAACAATTTAAGAGCCCCGCCCTGACACCAGAACCCCTCACTCATGGGCTATGAAAT